TGAGCCTGCGGCCCGGCCGGGCGGGGAGCCTTGGCGGGGGGCTTGGGGCGGGAGGAGCGGGCCTGGAGCTGTGGCCTCCGGGGCCGCGCCCGGACCAGGCCTAGGCGGGCTGTGGGCGGAGCCTCCGGCCCTGCCCAGCCCCGGCGGGCGGTGGCACCGGCTCCCGGGAGAGCCTTCCCTCCGCCCAGGGCTTTGACGAGAAAAGCCTTTGTCTCCCCACCCCTGGTCTCGGCGCCCCAGGCCGAGCGGCCTGTCGCCGGACCGCGGCCGCCGCTTTCCCTCCTGTGGACTGGAGATCCGCCTCCAAGGCTGGTGGGTGGGGACGCGCCCGAGGCGTCGGCGACCCCGCGAGGGAAACCGAACCGCGCTCGAAGCCTTGGGTTGGGCCCAGTCCCCGGGAGGGAACAGGCCCCTCGGGGTCGTTGGGGTTGGAAAGCCTGCAGAGGACGGGGCCCTGCTCGAGTTCGGACACGCGTTTGTCGAGGCCTGTGGGTGAGCGAGTGTCGAGAGAAAGGTGACCGGGTGGTCGTGGGTCTTGGAAACCCGTGCAGTCCAAGGGGCAGCCGAGCTGTGAAGAGCAAGTTACGAGGCAAGGCGGCTGTCTTCAAGCGCTCGAGGGCTGCGGTGGCGAGAGTAAGTGTCGGTCTAGGACCAGACTGGGGTCTTTGAAACGATGCCGAGTCGGGTTCCGCCGAAAGAAGACCGTGTGGCAGAACCGTCGAACGGGAAAACCCCCCGCCTCGGTGCTCGCAGTGGCACGGCCAGGAGTGTTCGGACACAGACTGTGTGTTCCAGGCATCCAGCACGAGTTAGCAAGTGCTTCAGTTGTTAGTCTGTGATCATTTGATTTTACGTGTGCCTCGTTTGCTCCAGAATGGGTTTGGGGCACTTTTACAGGAGCATATAAGCTTTGGGAAACTGGCATGAAGGAGGGGGCAAAACCCGGGAACAGAACAAAGGCCTTCTGCTTACAGAGACCGTGAATTTTTGCTTTGCTTGACGGGCCTCTTGAGCTAAACGTTCTTGACAGTTTTTTAAAAGTACTTCACTGTGGTCGAAAACAGTGTGAGCTAGTAATCGAGCCTGTTTTCTACACAAATGCTTTTTTATTTTATGAACGTTTCAGAAAAACAGAAGCCAAGACCTGGAGAGTATCCCTAAATGAACCTTTAGACAAACTCAGCATAACCAAATGTGAAATTACTGCTTTCTTCAGGGAGGGAATAAAAAGTGCATTACCAGGTTTGTTTTTAAAATCTTGCCAATCTGATAGGTGGAAGGTGGAAGCATTTCATTGTCGCTTTAACTTTGCATCTCTTTTCTTTAATTAAGGTTGAACCTCTTTTCATGGATTAATTACTAAGCTGTGTTTAAGAGATAGATACAAGCTTGCCACAAATATTGGGCATTGATGAAGCATAGATAAAGTCAAGGAGAATGATGAGACGTGAATGGGGGAGGGGGAGACAGAGGCCAGACTGTGACTTTGCTGTGCAGAGATGTTATGGAAGGTTTTTAAACAGCTGAGTAACGTAGCAGATTTGTCTTTTAAGCCTCTGCTTGTAGCCTTTACGCCTGTGTGACAAATTGCCAAACTGTAGCCTGTGTGATGTCAAAGGAAGACAGGATATTGTCATAACTTTGCTATCTAGTTAAAAGCTGAAAGTATTTGATAAAATTTTTAAATAGGCTTTGCTTTACCTTTAAAATTAATCTGCTAGAAACTTGACTTCATTAAGCCAATGTTCTGACAATTGTTGCAGGAGAATCAGAAATTACCTATTGTTCTAGAAATAAAGCAGCACCTTTGTTTTCTTAATAATCATTAAGGGGGGAATGGGGGCCTCACAACTTTTTTTTTTTTTAGAGTGGGAGTCTCACTCTTGTCACTCAGGCAGGAGTGCAGTGGCACGCTCATGGCCACCACAGCCTCAACCTGCTGAGCTCAGGTGATCTCTGTCCTCCTCAGCTTTCCGAGTAGTTGGAACCACGGGCGTAGCCTTCACAACTTTTTTTTTTTTTGAGTTGGAGTCTCACTCTGTCGCCCAGACTGGAGCACAGTAGCATGCTCACGGCCATGCCAGCATTGACTTGCTGGGCTCCAGCAGTCCTTCTGCCTCAGCCTTCCAAGTAGCCTGAACTATAGGCGCGCTGCCGCGCTTCACTAGGTTTTGATTTATTGTAGAGACGAGGTCTTGCCAAGTTGCCCAGGCTGGTCTCAAACCTGCAGGCTCAGGCCGTCCACTCTCCTCGGCCTCCCAACGTGCTGGGATTACAGGCTGAGCCACCAAGCCCGGCCATCATAACTTTTTATTTTATTTATTTATTTTTTTAAAGAAGATTTGAGGTATGAGCTTTTTATATATATTTTTATTTTTTATTTTTTATTTTTTTTTTTGAGTTGGAGTCTCACTCGGTCGCCCAGACTGGAGTGCAGTGGCCGCTCCCGGCCACCACAGCCTCGCCTGCTGGGCTCCGGCGATCCTTCCGCCTCAGCCTTCCGAGTAGCCGGAATTACAGGCATGCGCTACCACACCCGGCTGATTTTTTGATTTATTGTAGAGATGAGGTCTTGCTGCCCAGGCGGGTCTCGAACCCGCGTGCTCAGGCAATCCACTCACCTCAGCCTCCCAAAGGCGCGGGATTATAGGCTGAGCCACCGAGCCCGGCCATCATAAGTTTTTTAAATGTCCAGTTAACTCTTCAGAATAGTCTATTTCAACGTCATAAACGTTGTTGAAGTTAACAGCTGTATTTCTCTTTACCGCCTCTTTATAATTGAGAGGCATTAACCAAAGCTGCTTTTTCCCTCAATGCCTTATTTTTTTAATTTAAATATGTGTTTTATTTCAGAATTGTTTTAGGTTCATAGAAAACACACACCCACAAAAGAAAACGCAAACGTAGTACCATGGGTCCCCATATATCTCTCACCCAGTTTCCCTTATTGTTAACATCATACATTAATTATATGAGTATATTTGTCACAGTTAAGGAACCAACATTAATACATTACAGTTAACTAAGCTCCACAGAATATTCAGGTTTCGCTAGTTTTTCCCTTATGTTCTTTTTCTATTCTAGGATTCTATATAGGATGCTATATTACATTTGTGTTCATGTGTATTTGGTGTCCTCCGGTCAGTTACAATTTCTGTCTTTCCTTGTTTTTTGACTGACCTTGACAGTTTTGAGGGGTATGGTCAGGTATTTTGTAGAAGACTCATCAGTTTGGGTTTGTCTAATGTTTTTCTCTTGGTTGGACTGGGGTTATGGGTTTGGGAGAGGAAAGCACAGAGGTGAAGTGCCCACCACATTATACCAGGTGTGTTTGTGCTGTCAATGTGACTTAACTCTTAAAATGTTAACCGTGACTGCCTGGTTGAGGTAGTGTTTCTGCACTATAGTTACTTTCCCATCACCTCTTTCCATATTCTACTCTTTGCAAATGAGTCACTAAGTGCAGCCCATGCTCAAGAGGTGGGGAGTTAAGCTCCACCTCTTTGAGAGGGGAGCATCTACATAAATTATTTAGGATTCTTCTGTACAAGAGATTTATCTCTTCTCCCCTCTTCATTTATTCAGTCACTATTTTATGGATATTTATATTATACTTTGGGCTATAATCTAGGACTGCTTTAATTATTTTGTTATTCTAGTTGTTTCAACTGTGGCCATTGGGAGTTTCTTTTAGATTGGCTTCTGTGTCCCTTTGACACACCCCTGCTGTTTTGTTTCTTGAATACTTTCTAGTACTATAAGATCCTCCAGGCTCATCTTATATAGTCCCCGACCAAGAAGCAGCCGTTTGTCCATTTCCTGGTTCCTTTTAGTGGAGAATGATACTTAGAAACCATGATCTGGTTGCTGGGTGTGCTGATTGCTACTGGTATGTCATTGCTTCTAGGTCCTCACAGAAGACAGAGCTAGGAAATATATGTATGTGTGCTAATCCATGTACACATACTTGCCTAATTCTGTATCTATCTGTATCTGTATAAACCTAAACATGACTTTATACTTCCACCATATTTTTGTATTAAGTATTTAACTTAAATTTGTATTGATTTTTTTTAAAAAACCTGTTTTCACAGTTTTTACTACTTAGGAGTAGCCCTGAAGATCTGTACATTAAATTCATTTCCACAAATATTTGAGCACCTGTGAAGTGCCATATTCTTCAAATTTGGAATATAGTAGTGAAAAATGCAAGTGAAAGTCCTTTTCCACTAGAGTTAATATTCAAGGAAGGAAACAGTTGTGGTTTTGTTTCAAGTAAAATATTATTTTCATGGTGATAAGTGATATGGAGGGGATTTAAGAGTCCTGGGGTAGCCGGGCTCGGTGCCTCAGCCTGTAATCCCGCGCCTTTGGGAGGCTGAGGTGAATGGATTGCCTGAGCACGCAGGTTCGAGACCCGCCTGGGCGGCGAGACCTCATCTCTACAATAAATCAAAAAATCAGCTGGGTGTGGTAGCGCATGCCTGTAATTCCGGCTACTTGGAAGGCTGAGGCGGAAGGATCGCCAGAGCCCAGCAGGTTGAGGCTGCGGTGGCCGGGAGCGGCCAATGCACTCCAGTCTGGGCAACCAAGTGAGACTCCAACTAAAAAAAAAAAAAAAGAGTCCTGGGGTGAGGGAGGACAGTGTGTGGTTTAAAACAGAGTGACTAGGCCGGGCACAGTGGCTCAAGCCTGTAATTCCAGCACTTTGGGAAGCCGAGGTGAGGGGATTGCCTGGGTCCACAGGTTTGGGACCAGCCCAGGCAACTTGGCGAGACCTCATCTCTACAGTAAATTAAAAAAATTAGCCGGGCATGGTGGCGCGTGCCTGGAATTCCAGCTACTTGGAAGGCTGAGGCAGAAGGATCGCCTGAGCCCAGTGGGTTGAGGCTGCAGGGCCATGAGCGTGCCAGTGCACTCCAGTCTGGGTGACAGAGTGAGACTCCAACTCAAAAAATAAATAAATAAATAAAATAAAACAGGGTGGCCAAGCCAGGTGTGGTGGCTCACACCTGTAATCCCAGCACTTTGTGAGACTGAGGCAAGAGGATTGCCTGAGCCTAGGGGTTCAAAACCAGCCTGGGCAACTTGGCGAGGCCTTGTCTCTACAATAAATCAAAAAGTTAGCTGGATGTGGTGGCATGCGCCTGTAGTTCCAACCACTTGGAAGACTGAGACGGAAGGATTGCCTGAGCCCAGCAGGTCGAGACCGCAGTGACCGTGAGCTTGTCACTGCACTCCAGCCTGGGCGATAGAGTGAGACTTCAGCTCAAAAAAAGACAAAGCAGGATGGCCTGGGATGCCTCAGTGAGAAAGTAACTTCTGAGTATACACCTGTAGGAGGTGAGCAAGTACAGAGGCTCCGAGGCGGGAACGTGCTCTCTTGCTCAAGGCTCAGGGTGGCTCTGGAGGGGTAGAAGTGCAAGATGAGGTCAGAGGTGATGGGGCTGAGTTCTTGTGAGGCTTTGTTGGCCGTTGTGAAGACTGGCTTCTCTTCTCTGAGACACGAAACCCTGAAGGTTGTGAGCAGAGAAGGGATGTGACTCATCTTGTATTTTGGCAGGCTCACTCTGACCGCTGTGTCTCGAGGGGACTGAAGGGCACAGGGTTGGGAGGAGTTAGGCTGTTGCAGGGCTCCAGGGCAAGGGGATGGACTGGCGCGGTAGTACCGGAGGCAGCGAGAAGTGGTGGAGCTCTGGGTGTGTTCTGGTTGTAGAGCTGGCAGAATCTGCATGTGGTTTGCATGTAGAATGTCAAAGGGAAATCAAGAGTGACAGCCTTGTGGTCCACATGGACGGTGGAGTTGCTGTTAACTGAGATGAGCAGCTTTGGAGGGCAAGACGGGAACTCTGTTTTGGACATGTTAGGGATGAGGTGCCTGTTGGACGTCCAGGTAGCAACATCAAGTAGGTAGTTGGTCATGTAAGTCTGGAGTTCAAAAGGGCAGTCGGGTTGGAGATGCGGATTGGGCACTTGTGAGTACATAAATGGTAGTTGAAGCCATGCGACTGGATGAAATCACCCAGGAGAGTGAGTGAAGCAAGGAGGAGGGGTCTAAGTGCCCAGCCCTCTACTCATTTGCTGTCTCACTGTGTCCTGCATTTGAATTATGTGCACCACAAAGGATGTGCTAGAATAAATTATTTAGCTAGTGAACTAGCCCCGCCAACTACCCCGTAGTAGCATCTAGGGAAACTTTTTCTTCTTTGATTGTGGCTATGTACATACTTTGCAGAAGCAATTGTGGTATCTGAATTTGGATTCACCGAGTTCTCAGAGCATGTTCTCAGAGTGTGAACATTACACTGCTCTGTGATGCTCCCAGTGTGATACTGCCAGTGCGACTTACCTCCTCGTGTCTTGCTGGGTTTCCCGGGCTGGATCACAGAAACTGAACAGCTGAAGCACGTTTCTTTCCTGGTCTTGGAGTGGCCTCTCTGGGCAGAGTGAAATTTTGGGACAGTTTCATAAAGTTAACCCACTACCTCCGTCATTTCTCACTTACTTTACCTTTCTGTGCTCATGCCCTTATTTTAGGAGATTAAGTGGCACTGCTCCTTCCATCTCAGTTTTTGAGTAGTCCTGAACTTGGGTGCTCTAGTGGTGTACTGGGTATAGACTTATTTGACCAAATAATCTTTTTTTCATCTGATTGGTCTTAGTTCCTTTTGGCACGTTTTGGGAAATGCTTCTATGCGCATTTTTTTTTCTTGTGTGACTTACAGTTTCCCTTTTCATGCTTTGGACTGCTTCCTGATGTTTATAATTCTGCTGATCATTCCACCAGTGTTAGTTTCCTAAATATGAACCTTCTCTACAAAATGTTAGCAGTAAAACCTGTTTTGTTTGTCAAAAGACTACTTATGATCTCTAAGATTTTATAATTTTATGGGTACTAACGTAGTAATATTCATTTTCTAAAAACCAAAATTTAGCAATCCAGTGAAGACTGGAAATCGTCTATAATTTCATAACCCAGTAATATCACTCTTAATTGAATTTTGGTCTCTTTTCATTGTGTGTACTATGAATGTGTGACTTTTCATAGTTTAAATGCTGTCAAGCCGGATCCATAGAGATTATCATGTGTTTGAAATAGGCATAACTGGGGTATTTAAATACACTAGATTTAGATGGTCTGCAATTCCTATTTCCCTATCTTCAGTCTTTGTTAGTCACACAGATCCTCTTTATGGTCTTTACCATAGTTATCAATATAATTTCATGCAACAAATACCCGTATATATTTTTTATCTGTTTCTCTTCATTGAGACTGCTGGAGTTTTCCTGCTCTAGAGTATCCAGACCCAGCATGGAACACCTGTGTGACGTGACAGCCGCTGCTTAGAGTCTGAAAATAGGCTCAGGAAGGCCAGTCGCAAGTGTGTGGGATTCATTACATTATGTTTTTCTTCTCAGATGTATTTAATCAGTCTCTCCAGTCATGATGGCCTGCTTCTGTTATCTGCTTATTCATTGGTTTTCCGTCTCCCCTACTAGCCCGAAAGCTGCGTAGGGTGGGGGCACGTCTGCCTCATGCATCACTGCAGTCCTGGCACCAGCCATGCGGCAGGTGTTTAGTGAAGGCTGAAAAAATGGAATTCAGTTTTTGGCAAATGAAGAACATAGAAGTAATTATTTACTACATATGTTTCAGTATTCTGATATATCACTGCCCGAAATATTTAAAATTTTAAAATATATTTAAATTTTTTTTTTTTAGTTGGAGTCTGACTCTGTCACCCAGACTGGAGTGCAGTGGCCGCTCCCGGCCACCGCAGCCTCGACCTGCTGGGCTCCGGCGATCCTTCCGCCTCAGCCTTCCAAGTAGCCGGAATTACAGCTGACTTTTTTTTATTTATTGTAGAGATGAGGTCTCACTGCCCAGGCAGGTCTCGAACCCGTGGGCTCAGGCCATCCACTCACCTCAGCCTCCCAAAGGCACGGGATTACAGGCTGAGCCACCGAGCCCGGCTTAAACATGTTTTTTTATATCATTTATTTTGGTTTAATATTTCCTCCTTAATTTCTTCTCAGCAAAACATATCCGACCAAAGTAAATACCTCTATAAGAGGACATGCTACTTTTAGTCTCATCTCTGTCATCCCACCTGCCTTTCTATGAAAAGGTAAAGGGCATTTAAAACCCTGTGGATGCGCTAATTAAAATGGGCCAAGTGAGCCGGGGCAGTGGCTCATGCCTGTAATCCTGGCACTTCGGGAGGCTGAGGCGAGAGGATTACCTGAGCAACATGATGAGACCTTGTCTCTACAATAAATCAAAAAATCCAGGCATGGTGGCACATACCTGTGGTTCCAGCTCCTTGGAAAGCTGAGGCAGAAGGGTCGCCTGAGCCCAGCAGGCCGAGGCTGCAGTGGCCATGAGCATGCCACTGCACTCCAACCTGTGCGACACAGTGAGACACCAACTCTAAATAAATAAGTAAATAAAATGGGCCAAGTGAACCTCAAAATTAGTTCACTAATTATACTCACTTATTTTTTAATATAGTAGTTAATTCTACCTTCCAGCATGACTGTGGTCATGCTGACAAGCCCAGTCATTTGACTAGAAAATTTTTAATGTTCAAGCTAAATGTCTTAGGTTTAAACAGGTGGTATTTAACTAGTAGAGAGCTGTTGAAATCTCAAAATCTAGGATATCTATGGCTGTGAGGTTCTGAAAGTTTTGGGAGCAGTGTTAATTTAATTTTAAAATGATACTGGCTGGGCATGGTGGCTCACAGCTGTTATCCCAGCATTTTGGGCACTTTGGGAGGCTGAGGTGGGATAATTGCTTGAGCCCAGGAGTTTGAGACCAGCCTAGGCAACATAGCGAGACTTCATCTCTGCAAAAACTTAAAATTAGCTGGGTATGGTGGTGCATGCCTGTAGTCCCAGGTACTCAGGAGGCCAAGTCAGAGGATCGCTTAAGTCCAGGAAGTCGAGGCTGCAGTGAGCTGTGATTGTGCCACTACACTCAGCCTGGGTGACAGAGAGAGATACCAACTCAAAAAAAAATTTTTTTTTTTGACTTGGAGTCCCACTGTCGCCCAGACTGGAGTGCAGTGGCCGCTCCCGCAGCCTCGACCTGCTGGGCTCCGTCGATCCTTCCGCCTCAGCCTTCCAAGTAGCTGGAACTACAGGTGCGCTACCACGCCCGGCTAATTTTTTGATTTATTGTCGAGATGAGGTCTCGCCTGCCCAGGCAGGTCTCGAACCCGTGGGCTCAGGCAATCCACTCACCTCAGCCTCCCAAAGGCGCAGGATTACAGGCTGAGCCACCGAGCCTGGTTTTTTTTTTTTTTTAATTATACCACACTGCAGTTTTAGGAGAGTGGAAATACAGTAAAATCAAAATAGGATGTCCTAAGCTAATTCCTGAAAGATGTTGAACAATCATCTTTATGTGGTAGTTTTATGGTGGCCATAATTTCCACAGTATCTTGTGCTAAAGGTATGGCTGTAGAGACCAAAAAGTCACACTTTTCTCTTTGGTAATTGTATGATAACCATATTTTCTTAGGTTTAACGTGTGGCCCTAAAATAACCAGAAAACCAAAGGAACCAATATTCGTGCTTCGCAGAGTCCACCTTAGGAGAGGCTGTTCTGGAGTTCATGTGATGACCAAGGTACTGGGCATGGCCACAGTTCTGGGCCCCAGGCCTTCGCAGGAGCAGGCAGGACCCGTGATTGTGAAAGTCAAGGAGGAGGAGGAGAAATGGAAGAGCCTTCCTAATCTGGAGGTGTTCCGCCAGCGCTTCAGGCGGTTTGGGTACCATGACACCCCTGGGCCGCGGGAGGCCCTGAGCCAGCTCCGGGTGCTCTGCTGCGAGTGGCTGCGGCCCGAGATCCACACCAAGGAGCAGATCCTGGAGCTGCTGGTGCTGGAGCAGTTCCTGACCATCCTTCCCCAGGAGCTCCAGGCCTGGGTGCAGGAGCACTGCCCAGAGAGCGCCGAAGAGGCCGTCACACTCCTGGAAGATCTGGAGCGGGAACTGGATGAACCGGCACATCAGGTGGGCCGGGGGGCCTTTTTTGCTCTGGGAGTTGGGAGCATAGTGTTCTAGGCAGGAGCAGGCGTTTGTCCACACAGTAAGGTGAACTGATCGGAAGTTTCTGTTGAGTTAGGCCACGTTCCTCCTATTTTTCTTCTATTATCCTAGTAACCTACTAACTGTAACCTTGGGAGTTGAGTGGGATGGATGTTTCTGTTTTCTCTTCTCGAGGTTCTACGTTAGCTCTCCTGAGATTTTTCATTCTGGTTCTCAAAGTGAGTTGTGCACAAACCCAGTCATTCTGAATTGTCTCTAGGTCTCAACTCCTCCAAGTGAACAGAAGCAGGTGTGGGAGAAGACGGCCTCCTCAGGAGCAGCAGAGGAGTGTGTGAGCAGTGTGCAGCCACAGCCTGAGGAGACTGGTCACTTATACGATTCCTGGGGCCCCCTGTACATCCAAGAGACTGGTGAGGAACAGGATTTCACTCGACACCCGAGAAGAACTCAAGGTAGGGATTCTCAGACTCCGGTTCAGTGGTCAGGCCTTTGTGACTGAAGAAGCAGAATAATTTATACTTGCTGGTTGTGAGGTGATTCCCTAGATTGACTTGACTGGTCAAGTTGACTGGGTGGAAATAGTTATCTTTCCTCCCCCAAGTACAGCTTTCTCAACTAGGGTCCTAGCATGGCAAAGGATTATTCTTTTTTTTTTTTTTTTTTTTTTTTGAGTTGGAGTCTCACTCTGTTGCTCAGGCTGGAGTGTAGTGGCACACTCACGGCCACCCCAACATTGACCTGCTGCAATCCAGCGATCCTTCCACCTTAGCCTTCCACGTAGCCAGGACTACAGGCACACGCTACCACACCCAGCTAATTTTTTATTTATTGTAGGCGAGATCTCGCTAAGTTGCCCAGGCTCACGGCCACCACAGTCTCGACCTGGCTGGGCTCAGGTGATCCTTCCGCCTCAGCCTTCCAACTTTTTAGCTGGAACTGCCGGTGTGCACTACCACACTCAACTTATTTTTTTAATTTATGTATTGTAGAGACAAGGTCTCACCCAGTTGCCCAGGCTGGTCTCAAACCCCTGAGCTCAGGCAGTCCTCTCACCTCAGCCTCTCAAAGTGCTGAGATTACAGGCTTGAGCCACCACGCCCAGCCAGGATCATTCTTAAAGGGTCAATTGAAGTGAGTTTAATGAGGTTTAGACATGCTGAATGAACCAATAAGGGATAGTGTTGCATTAGACAACAGTGTAAAGCTGTGACTACCTGTGAGTCTACAGGGCCAAGAAGAGGGGACTGTTACCAGAGCCACGTGAGAGCTGAGCCATGGAGGAGGGGTCACTCAGTAGGAGCAGTGGCTGCAGGCCCTGCCTCCGGGTCGGGAGAGAACAGGGGAAACGTCATCCTCCTCCTCCTGAGAGCCTCACTGGTGCTCCCCCCGGCAAACCCAGCTGGCAGCAAGAGGGCAGGAGAAACAAGGCGGCGTAGCTCCTAAGGTCACCTTCCTGGGGCGCAGAGCCGAGAATGGATCTGGGAAAGGCAAATGGAAGACAATCAGCACCCTCCTTTCTGAAGCTCTGGAGAGAGGTGGGGCATTCACAAGCCAAAGACGTATCCGGGTGACTGGACTCCCCAACTTGAGTCTCCACAAATCATACTTTGCAGAACAGTCCCAGGGACCATACGTGGTTACCCTCTTAAGCTGTTTTGTACTAGTGGTTTATTCATTTATGTACCTTCACTTACCTAAAGAATTAACACTCAATTCTTGAAATGAAGTTAATGTTTAATTACATGTTTGTAAAAAATATGTACATTATTCCAAATCTTAATAGATTTTAACCAGGACTTTGCTTAAGTGTAGGTGGTGTGGACCACTGTTTGTGTGTGTGGTATGATTTCATAAGAGGAGTCTGTGGATTCAAAAGTCTCTCCTCTTTGCATGCTTTCTGTGTCCCAAACACATGAAATTCCATCTTAGAAACAGGGTTCTGAGCCTTATTAAAAAATCATATTCTCGCTGGATGCAGTGGCTCAAGCCTGCAATCCCAGCACTTTGGGAGGCTGAGGCGAGTGAATTGCCTGAGCCCGCAGGTTCAAGATCCAGCTGGGCAACTTGGTGAGACCTCATCTCTACAGTAAATCAAAAATTAACCGGGTGTAGTAGCGTGCGCCTGTAGTTCCGGCTACTTGGAAGGCTGGGGCAGAAGGATCGCTGGGGCCCAGCAGGTCGAGGCTCCAGTGGCCAGGAGCATGCCACTGCATTCCCATTCCAGTCTGGGCAACAGAGTGAAACTCCAACTCAAAAAAAAAAAAAATCTGGCCGGGCTCAGTGGCTCAGCCTGTAATCCCAGAGCTTTGGGAGTCCGATGTGAGTGGATTGCCTGAGCCTGCAGGTTCAAGACCCACTTGGGCAACTTGGCGAGACCTCATCTCTACAATAAATAAAAAATAAGCCAGGTGTGGTAGTGCATGCCTGTAATTCCAGCTACTTAGAAGGCTGAGGTGGAAGGATTGATGGAGCCCAGCGGGTCGAGGCTGCGGTGGTCGGGAGCGTGCCACTGCACTCCAGTCTGGGCAACAGAGTGAGACTCCAACTCAAAAAAAAAAAAAAAATCACAAAATTAGCCGGGTGAGGTAGTGTGCACCTGCAGTCCCGGCTACTTAGAAGACTGAGGTGGAAGGATCGACTGAGCCCGGCAGGTCAATGCTGGGGTGACCATGAGCGTGCCACTGCACTCCAGCCTGGGCAACAGAGTGAGACTCCAGCTCAGAAAAAAAAATTAGACTGGGTGCAGTGACTCACACTATAATGTCAGCACTATGGTAGGCCAAGGTGAGAGGATTACCTGAGTCCAGGGCTTCGAGACTAGCCTGGGCAACTTGGCAAGACCTCATCTCTACAATAAATAAAAAAATTAGCCAGGCCTGGTAGGGCATGCCTATAATTCCAGCTACTTGGAAGGCTGAGACAGAAGGATTGCTTGAGTCCAGCAGTTCGAGGCTGCATTGGCCATGAGTGTGCTACTGCCCTCCAGCCTGGGTGACAGAGTAAGACTCTGTCTCAAAACAAAACAAAAATCACATTCTCTTGGAAAAGTAAAAAACTAAACGATTAACCAGATTCTTCATGTTTTATGGTTAATACCAGTCCTCTCTAGGAAGTCGGAGTCACCCTGTAGTTGCCAGAGTCATCAAAGATGAAAATAGTCACAGATGTATCTGGTCAGTTTTGTTTCCCATTTCTCTTGGCATAGCCACTTGGATGTACTACACAAGGAGGAGGGTGGCGTAAAAGGAGTCTCAGAGCCAGTCATGGTCTTGGGTTTTAGTCCCCAGATTTGGGGGCAGGGGGCCCGGGCCAAGGTTCCTGGGTTAGCCTAAGGAAAGAAGAGTTGGCACTGAAAGCTTTGCATAAAGTCTTAAAAGAGTATACCCTCAATGTAAAAAAAATAGGCTAGACTAAAAAAAAAAAATGAGCCCACTAGGGATTCAGTAAGGAAGTTTGTCGGTCTGCCTCAGCTCTGAGTGGAAACAGAAGCATATCCTGACACATCGAAACCCTGTACATTTACCTCAGTAAGGTTTGGAATTTGACTTTAAGTTACCTGCATGTTCCAGAAACCTCCAAGCCAAGAAATTAACAAACAGTTGCCCTGGGTACCTGGCAGAAGCACATGTGAAGCCAACAGACAATTTCATTGAATTCTAGAATATCCCAGGCTATTCAGGAGTCACTGAGGGGGTGGAGTAAGGAACGAAGCCTTTCTAGAAAATGAAATTGTAAATACTCAGTGGGTAAAACTCAGGAGACACAACAAAAGGAGAATTAAAGCTTAAGTAATCTACAATAATAGAACACCAATGAAAATAACTTCAGCCGGGCTCGGTGACTCAGCCTGTAATCCCGCGCCTTGGGAGGCTGAGGTGAGTGGATTGCCTGAGCCCACGGGTTCGAGACCCGCCTGGGCAACTTGGTGAGACCTCATCTCTACAATAAATCAAAAATCAGCCAGGTGTGGTAGCGCGCACCTGTAATTCCAACTACTCGGAAGGCTGAGGTGGAAGGATCACCAGAGCCCTGCAGTCGAGGTTGCGGTGGCCGGGAACGGCCACTGTACTCCAGTCTGGGCGACAGAGTGAGACTCCAACTCAAAAAACAACAACAACAACACTACTGAACTTGGTGGCATGCAACTGTAGTCCCAGCTACTCAGGAGACTCCAACTCAAGAAAAAAAAAAAAAAAAGAAAAGAAAATAACTTCATTTGTTTAAAATAATTTAAGAAGCCGGGCTCGGTGGCTCAGCCTGTAATCCCGTGCCTTTGGGAGGCTGAGGTGAGTGGATTGCCTGAGCACGCGGGTTCGACACCCGCCTGGGCAGGTGAGACCTCATCTCGACAATAAATCAAAAAATCAACCGGGCGTGGTAGCGCATGCCTGTAATTCCGTTACTTGGAAGGCTGAGGCGGAAGGATCGCAGGAGCCCACCAGGTCGAGGTTGCGGTGGCCAGGAGCAGCCACTGCACTCCAGTCTGGGCGACAGAGTGAGACTCCAACTCAAAAAAAAAAAAAAAAAAAAAAAAGAAAAGTAAGGAATGTAAAATGGCAATCATGTTAAGTGAGAGGTCTGGGTCTCATTGTCTGGTTACAGTGTTCTGGTGAGTTTCAGGCCCCTGCCTGAGCGTGGGTCTCTGAAGGAAGGAACTCAGATAAGCAAAAATGCAAGTTTCAAGACCGGGAGGGTCATTTTCTGTGTTTACTCAAAGAACCCGGCAAACATCAGTTCTGTGGGGAAATTGGGCCAGTGTCAAGAACACATAGAACTTCAAGCCAAATGGAATCGAACGTTTAAAAAGTATGCTGAGGCCGGGCACGGTGGCTCAGCCTGTAATCCCAGTACTTTGGGAGGCCGAGGTAAGAGGATTGCCTGAGCCCAGAAGTTCCAGACCAGCCTGGGCAACTTGGTGAGACCTCGTCTCTACAATAAATTTTTAAAAAAACATAAGCCAGACATGGTACAGAACACTTGTAGTTCCAGCTACTCGGAAGGCTGAGGTGGAAGGATCGCCTAAGCCTAGCAAGTCGAGGTTGTGGTGGGCATGAAGAAAAAAAAAGTATAATAACAGGCCACTAGAAAAGAGATTTTTTTTTTTGAGTCAGGGTCTCACTCTTGCCCAGG